GGTTCAGGCTGTAAATTTACACGATGCTCTGAAAGGCACGGCCAGATTTATCCAAGTTTGCTCTCGGTGCTCCAGGTTCTGCCCACCTCGTCCCCCTCAGCGACCGCCCGCATGAGAGACCCCACAACCCAAGGAAGGGGGGAAGGAAATCGGGACTGAGCAGGATACGGCAAGGGGATTTTTCTGAGTTATTTCCAAATTTGAGAGCGTATCACGGAAACAGCCCTGCCCGCCGCTGCGCCCTGCACCTGCTCTCGCTTCCCCAGTCGAGCTGAAAGGAATCGGCCATTTTTACCGTTACGCAACCGGTGGTTTCTGATGCCCTTCACACCCCATGGGACGTGTAGAAACAGGAAACTCTGAGCAGAAATATCCAGCACTTGCATCAGCCCTCGAGCTGGTCAAAAAGTCCAAATACTTTTAATACAAAGAAATCAACAGGGGATAGTTTAGAAAAAGCTGTAAAGCCGGACGGAAAAAGGTTTCGAATCACTGGAGGGAGAACGCGGCGCTGCTGCGCAAGACCGGAGGCGCCACGGACCAGAGGCGTGAAAATTTACCACCGCGCGTTTCTGGATGCCAAAACCATCTCATTAAAACTTGTGTGGTTTGTCAGGTCCAAGAATGGGGATTTTAAGTACTGTATTTTAAATACTGTATTTTAAACTTTAGGTTTTGAGTTTCAAAGTCTTGCCCGCGAGCACCTGCTTTGCTGGTTTACTCCATGTTTTTAAGACGCCGAGCTCGGCTATCGGGCAGATACACACGTGATTTTAGTCACGTTCATATTTAACTCACAAATCCTGACGCTTTCTGTCTGGATCGCCTTAAAACTGGTTTCAAAGGTGCTGAGAACAGCCACTAACGAGGCCTGCTCCACAGCTCCCACCGGAATCCGCCTGTGCCCCAGGACGGCTGCGGACAGCAGGGACAACCCAGAACCCCGGGTGCTTCGCTGGCGGAGGCCGAATCGCTCGCGCTCTGGTAGCCATCGCCTCCGCAGCTCTGAAAGATGCAGAGGGCAGGTTCAGGGCTTTTATGCCCCAAATCCCACTTGGCTTCTGCGCAATGGATCTGTAAAAATCCATATCGAGCCCAAGAACCGCAATTCTTGGGTTTTTTTCCCCAGATCTGGCATGGAAGCGCTGCGCTTCCTAGAGCGTAAGTCATCTGCCTTTTCTGACTCAGCTTCTTCACGTCAGTATAGGAAGTTTTAGGCAAGAACTAAAGCACAGTTAAAAGTCAAGATTAACAAAGACAAATCTAACAAACCAGCGAGGGAAAGCGAGTGTTGCTCTACAGCCAGAGCCGCTCCAGACAAGCGTCCGTCTGTCCGTCCTCGCACCGCCGACGCCGCGACGCCCCAGACCCCACGCCTGCTCCTTCAGTCCCTCGCGGCCCGGCGGAAAAAGAACCGGGAGCAGAAGAGCTGAAATCCGTCCGTTTAATGTCGCGCACCCCTTTCACGTCACAGCCACCGAAACGAACCGCGTGACACCGTCGTCGCGCGCGATTCCAACCCAACGCCATCGCTGTGCATCATTCCAACGTGACAGCCGGCCCCCACCAAACCGAACGAATTATTACGTGGAAATTCGTGCTCGGCAAAGCACCGTTTGTTCCAGAAAGAGGGGAAAAAAGCGTATTTTGTACCACAACCCAGCGCTACGATCAAACGTGGTGTTTTTTTGAATTCCCCGCAGCCGGTGCTGCGGTTCCTGTCACCCGAGCCCGGCCGGCAGACGCCTCTACAAGACGGAGTGTTTCTCGACGGGGACCGTCAGCTCCTTGGCTGCCGACTCGTCCAGGAACCAGCGCAGCTGCCCGGAGTGAGGCCGGACGCGGGCGGCGGGAAGGGGGTTTTCCTCGTCGCCTTCTAAAATGCGCTGTTGGGAGAGAGGGAACGGTGTCTCAGCCGAGCAGTCGGCAAAAGGGAACCTCAAACCGCACCTAAAACGCTTTGGCAGTTGACTGAAACCTCAAACGCCTGGGGTTTTCATTAAAAAGATGGACAGTTTGGGTCCAAACCTTTAAAAACGCTTTGGCAGTTGACTGAAACCTCAAACGCCTGGGGTTTTCATTAAAAGGATGCACATTTTGGGTCCAACCCTTTAAAACGGCAGCTTTGCCTTCCCCCGTAGCCACGAACACGACCATCCGCGCGGCGTTCAGCACAGGCAGGGTTAACGTTATTCGCTCTGGCGGTGGCTTTGGCGAGTCGGTGATGGCAGCAACTATTTTCTCTTTCTCCTATCAGAGCAAAAAAACATGAAAAGAGGGAAAAAAACCCAAACCCCAAAGCAGGGGAGCGATCCAGGCTCCGACCATAAAGGAGGTGAGCGATGGCTGCCGAGGGCGACCGAGGGTCCTTGACCTTTCCGCACCTCCACCCACGTCAAGATCTCTTTTTTCGTTTCCCCCCGCACCCCCAAAATCAAGAGAAACATAAAAGAAAAAAGACGGG